CGGAGTATTAGGTACTGTAAACTCCTGTTTCACCTGCATTTCTCTACAGAACATCCGAAAAGCATTCGACGAATACTCACCTCCGTTGTCAGTTCTCAAGCACTTCGGTGTTCCGTGCTCAGCTACAAAGTCTTTGAACTTCGAAAGAGTATCGCTCTTCTTAACCAGGTACTTGACCACTGCCAGACGGCTGAAGTCATCAATGAAGCTCACGGCATAGCGCGCTCCATGCATGCTCGCAACTTCAAATGGTCCCTGGATGTCGCTGAAGACCCGCTGCCCCACTGCAGTTGCCCTGTTCTCTGTCTTCTTTGGCATTGCTACTTCGTGCATCTTCGAAGCTGTGCACACTTCGCAGAACCCTAGCTCGCCGACATCAACAACTGATATTAGATCATGCTTGTTGAGATGCCCCAGCCTTCGGTGCCACAGCATTGCACTACTTGTCTCCATCTTCGCTTTCGTAGCTAGAGTCATCGCGTTCCTCTTGAACTTGCACTCCAGGAAGAAAAGCTTGCCGCGCTGCTTCACTGGTAGCCGTCGACCATCCGGTGCCACAAGATGAGAAGAGTCTGATGTAAAGCTGAAACTAGACCCTCTAGCTATTGCTGAGCTCACACTCATCAGATTCACGTTGTAGCTCGGCACAAACAGCACATTGTGGAAAGTGTAGCTCCTCGTCACATCTTGACAGTCTCGTATGTCCACTTCCACCGAGCCTATGCCCTCAATCTTTGATATTGTACCGTTCGGATTCTCAACTGTTGTCCCCTCATCCCATTTCTCAAAGCTTGAGAAGACAGCCTTGTCGCGCACTACATGATCGGTGCATCCCGTATCCACAATGAGATCATCTCCCTTCATTGAGGTTGTTGCACAACAACTGAAGAACCCTGTCTTTGCCTGCTTGCAGTCCCTTGCAAAGTGTCCTTGTTGTCCACACTTGAAGCACCCTTGCTTCCTTGAAGTTGGACCACTTGCTTCATTCGAGCCACTGCCTCGAGCACCAGATTGACCACTGTCACTTCTGGATCTGCAATCTCTTGCCAAATGACCCTTCTGACCGCACACAAAACAGCCACCACCCGACGCTCCTTTCTTCTTCCTCACAGCTTGCATAGCTATGTGTCCATTCCCAGTCTTCTCTCCACATCGAGCTCGTCTCGAGTCATCATAGTTCCTCAACCTCGTTCTCAGCTCTGTAAAAGTCTTGGCCGGCTGGAAGCTCTCCTGCACCACGAAATGCTCAAAGCTGTCAGGCAGTCCGTTGATCACGAGCGCATTGAAGAGTGTGTCCGTAATTGCTTCCCCAGCTTCACTCAGCCGCGTCATCAGCTCTTGACTTCGAACGAAGTAGTCATCGAGATCCTCCTCTGATCCTAGGCGCAGCTTCGCAAGCTGGCCTACTAGACTGACCACTGTAGGCCTCTCCACACTGCAAAACTTCTCTTGCAGCAGTCTCCAGGCCTTCGTCCCATCGCCATAGCCATCCGCAGCCACGCAGTCGTTCTTGATGTACATCAGTGTGGTGTTGTTCAGGACCAGAGCTAGATGTGACCACACTGTGTTTCGGTTGTCTTTCCTCTGCTGGATCAGCACAGCTCGCTCCTGCATCTTGGTGTTGTACGCCGTCATCTGGTCAGCATTCGGATTCTCAGGTAGCGTAGGTTCAGCTTCTGGTAGATCGTCATTGCCCATCACAGTCCTGAACAGGCCTTTGGTATGCATCAGTGCCACAAACTTCGTCGACCAAGCTGGAAAATCTTCAGACTTTCCACTGAATCCAGCCAGTTTCAAGTCCATCTCTGCTTTGCTAAAGGCTAGATAAAAGCTAAAAAAAACTCTGACAGAAATCAAATAATTATTAAATCAAAAAGTTTAGAAATCTGGGCCCATAACCTGTTAAGATTCAGAGTTAGAGCAAGTAGGACTAGGGGATAGAGGTTTGAGAGTTATCTGAGGTTTCAACTGAGGAGAGAGAAGAGATACTGATTGTTGAAGAATGAATTGAGATTGTGTTTATAAAATGACACGACAAACTGAGCATCAAATAGTACCAGTTAATTAATTACCAGTTAATTAATTAGTTTATCAAATACCAGCAGACCAGTTGACCTTGTCTGAGTGCATTGAGTTTTATACCAGTTGACCTTTAATTAGGTTTCTATTGCTCAAGTCTGACCTTGAGTTTGGTCTGGTATTTCACTAGTCTGGCATTGAGCTCGTCTGTCCTCAACAAGAAATGCCGATGAATATTTGTGGTAATAGCAAAACACTCTCAAAGACAAAGTTTCTCCTCTCTTTCATGTATTGTAAGAAAAGCTTTATTGGCAGATAGATTTCGAAAGCTAAAGTAGAATGTCAAAGTATAGAATAATGGCAGCATAGGTTTTAAAACGGGAAGTTGTCATGGGGTAGAACTGAAAATAATACAGAGTGGCATGGGGCAAAAAGGAAATAATATATTTAAAATGGAAAAGATCATATTTCATAATTATAATAAGAACAAAGCAATTGTAAGGAGAGCCTGCTAAAACCGTTTTTTGGTACATTTTTTACTGGAATAGAGTTAAAAAGTTTTCAGTTCATTTCAAAGCATCTAGCTGAAATTTTTATTTTAGAGAGAGCGTAAAAAATTGTAATGACTGGCGTTTTTTAAACGTTTTTTGAAAAATTTTGAAAAGTTTTAAGCTTTTTGGTCTCTGCCAAAACCCAAAATTACTATTTTTTTGTTATGCTCTGCGCTACATGAGTTTTTTCATTGAAAATGCCGTTTTTGATCCTTCCTGGAAAATCTCGACAATTAAATTGCGTTTTTCTTGGCGTTTTACACTGAAAAATATTATTTATCTGCGCCAAAAACGCTTTTACAATTTTTCAAGTCCTCCGCAATAAAATATTTCATTACTTTCTACTGGTAAAAAAGCACTATGGCTTGTCTTTTGTTTTCAATTACAATCGTAAAACAAATTTCACATCTTTTTATGGCCATTGATGCTTTTTATGGCAATATTGTTTTGCTCACTCAAACTTTTTTGTGCAAAGAGAATTAACTCAGTTTAATTTGATATTTTATGGGACCCCAATTGTTTTTAATCTTTGGGGCTTTGTATGGTAGCCTTTACAAAAAGCATCATCTGTGATCGCGGTCTTTTTTCAATTTGCAGCAATATACCAGAAATAAATTAATCAAGCCTACTGTGTTTGTAAAATTTTCCTTTTTCGATAAGAGATTCGCCGTTGCTTATACAAATTGAAATAAATTAACTACTGAGCATATTTGGTTCTCTTTAGACACCAATTTTTAGGGCAACCGTAATTATAATTGTTTTAGGTGCGATGTCAACTTTTTCTGCCAGGACGGAGAATAAAGCCCAAATCGAATATACTTTTTTCCACCTGAATCTAGATTCATCTGATTTTACGTCAAAATGTTTTCAAAACAGTTTAAAAAAGTCAAGGTCACGATTAGGTTTGAATTGTAATTCGCAGAACACAATCAGCCTTCTGAAATTTTGTCGTCACCAACCTCCCCAATCCAATACAATTCCCCCATTAGCGCTAGTGAAGATATTTTTTAGAAGATACTGCTCAAACTAAAACAAATATGGTATGTCACGTATTTTCATGGACTGCGTTTGAATAAAAAGTGAAAAAACATTCCCTGAAAAACAGTATGGATTCAAAACTAGATGAATGAGCCCAAAGTTTCTTTGATCTCAACATGCTTCTCCGGCCGGCGTTTTTCTTTGATCTAACTGATAAGAATCGATCATTTCTTAATTCACAGAACAACACAGCATCTAAATCTAGTTATCGTCTTTAATTCTAGGTAACTTTTCCTGGGCTAAAAGCTTGTTAGGTTGAATACCCTGCTGAGGATCTGGGTCTAATATGGTACCTTACCATCATTTAATCCTTTGAACCTTCAAGCTACCTGGAATACAGTCTCAAAAGGTGTATCTATATTAGTATCCAAAAAATGCTTCCAAATTTTCAATTCGATGAATATTTTTAAAGATAGTTAAAGAAAGCTGAAAAGCTCGTTGGACGACATAATGTTTTTATATTTTATTGTCAATTTATTTCAATTATGCTGCTCCTATGCTATCGATGAGAAAAAAATATATATTTGAAAGAAACAGCAACAGAATCAAAGTTGACCTTTTTAATGAGACAGATATAAGTGATATAAGTTATCGCATTGTCATTTTTTGCAGAAAATTAATGATCCGGCATCAGATAATTTTCTAAACTAAATAAATTTGGCGTAAATTCAAATAATTTTTAGGTGAAACCCTTACAGACACAGGAGCAACTGATTACTGCGCAAGTACCAGAATCTGTTCCAATTATATGAAAATTGGGAGAAGTCGCAGCAAAAGCAGTCAAATAATTAAAAAGACGGTTGAATTGTTAAAATTACTCATCGCAACCACGTTACCATATATGTGAGGTTTGAAAACGATTTCAAGAGGTGTGGTTCAATATTTGTTTGTAAGAATGTCTTATGCTGAGATGGGTCCTGATGGCTATCTCCTTGAGTAGATTCAAATAAAGTACATCGTCTGTTCGTCACGCTATCTTTTTTCATCGGATAGTTTCGTGCTTGTCCTT